CTTTGTCACAGCCTGACTCAAAACTGGACAAAGAAGGGGAGAACACACATAAGTTTTAACTAAAGTAGGTTTATTTTACATAACAGAGTAGAAGCCAAGGGAGAGAGAGAGTTTGGCTGATTGCCTCCAGCTTATAAAGTCTCACCACCAGACCAGGTGAGCTGAATCTTGCTGATGACCCGACTCCACTCAGCAGGCCTCTGGAGGGAGAGTCCTGCTCATACAGTTGTCACAGTTGGTACAAAACAAAGTGACTGAGATAGTCCAAAATCAAGACACAAGTGCAGGCAGATGATCAGAAACTGGATACTGGTATGATCATGTATACGGGGATGTAAATTACCAGGTTTTGATCAAAAACAGGATACCCAGATACTCGTAGGCATGTAAACGCATTATTCATTTATACATCTGTTCTAAAAGTATTGCACTTTCTATCTTTCACAGAGGGAAGAAATCATAAAAATAGTGAGATCCATCTGCAGTAAGTAATCAGAAGCTCAAAACTCACATTTTTTATTTTGTTGATCCGACGTTGGTCTGTAGTCTCTCGCCATCTGTTGCTCTGTTTCACTAGGTTGTGGAGTGACATGCCGCCAAACCCCCTTGGAGCTTGTTTTTGTGATCGACAGCTCCGAGAGCGTCGGGCCCGACAACTTCAACGTGATCAAAGACTTCGTAAACGCCCTGATTGACCGAGCCTCGGTCAGCAGGGACACAACGCGGGTCGGTGTGGTCCTTTACAGCCACATCAACATGGTGGTGGTCAACCTCAGACAGGAAGCCACTCGGGATGAGATCAAGTCTGCAGTGCGCTCCATGACCTACCTAGGTGAGGGTACGTTCACGGGCAGCGCCCTTCAACAGGCCAACCAGGTGTTCAAGGCGGCGCGGGCAGGTGTGAGGAAGGTGGCCATCATCATCACGGACGGGCAGGCCGACAAAAGAGACGCGGTCAGTCTGGAGAGCGCCGTGTCGGAAGCTCAAGGGAATAACATCGAGAGGTTTGTGATCGGGGTGGTGAATGAGAGCGATCCTCTGTATGAGGAGTTCAAGAAGGAGCTCAGTCTCATGGCCTCTGACCCAGACAGCGACCACGTGTACCTGATTGATGAATTCAAAACACTTCTAGGTGAGCCATTCTCGGAATAACATGACATACATATAAAGGTCAGTTCACTAAAATTACAAAACCAACATATTTTCCTACTTGGTATTTAGCCAGGCAGATAATTTTTGTTTTATTTGCCCAGATTTTGAAATATCTATCTACAGTGGTGGAAAGTAACTTAGTACATTTTTGAGGTAGACTTGAGTAATTCAATTTTCTACTACTTTATGCTTGTACATTTCAAAGGCAAGTGTTTTACTTTTCACTGAATTGAATTTTGAATGCTTGACTTATACATAGGTCTTATACAAGGTCTGAGTACTTCTACCACCACTGTCTATATGTGAGATTTCTAACTTCAACCCAATGTAATGGAGGTGAATAGAGCTTAATTTTTCGTCTGTCACTGCATTGAAAACTTTAAAATTTAACAGTAACATTAGTAACAAATACAGTCACTGTGTCTCTGGATGATCCAAATAGGAGAAAAGTTGTTATAGGGACTTTGGTAGACAGTACTTCCAATGAAAGCACTTGAACTGAAACCTAAATAACTTCTAAACAGCATTGAGAGAAAAATCTGGACTCTGGACATAAATTGTGCATAAACCCCAAGTGGCAACCACAAACTGCAGTTCCTCAATCGGCTTTAAGTTATGTATAACTAAGAGGAGACACAAGAGGGACATGTAGGCGGTGTCACAGGTGGCTGGTTTCAGTAACTAGGCTTCATTTAGCTTGCCTCAGCTTCACGTCTGTGCTCATTTTGTCAGGACTGCCAAGGTGGCGACTGCCAGAGCTTAAAAAAGGCTCTTCTAGTCTATGGTGAACCCCACAGATAACAACGTTCACCTTCTCTACCTCCATTAAGAAGACCAGATGTAGGTTCAAGAGCATTTTAAACAATTTCTTCTGCTGACACTCACCTACTTCCAAGGTGAATGGAGAAGGGGAAAAAAGTCTGTGGTGGTCAGAACTCTTGCAACAGTCGAAGAAGACAGAACAACTTTATTGTTAGACCAACGGCTTGTGGCCTTTATCAGTGTCTTGGTCACACTTGGTGGCCACAGACAACAATCTGCACTGCTTCATCCTCTACACACTCTAAATAAAGGGACAAATACACAGCTTGGATGTGAGTTTGGGACAATCAATCTTCTATAACATCTACTACCATGGTGCTGTTGAGCAAAGCCAACCCCAAACAGCTCATTTTCAATCTGTGGTGGGAATTACTGACACAAAAGTGAAGCCGGAGAATGCGCTGTATACTGAGAAGTATATACGTATAGAAATGTATTTACTGACTGTTAAGTTCTTCTGGTCTTGCAGCTCTGGAGAAGAAATTGCTCAGTCGTATCTGTGAGGATGGAGAGAGACATTTGTTCAGCTCCATCCCAAGCTCCAGGCTGCCTCCAGGAATTCCCGAGGTCTCCAATAACGTTCGAGAACCTCCGTACAGAACTGATACAGACACACCCACCTTCACAGGAGACTTCAGGAGAGTTCAGATGGTGGTGAGGGCAACAAATCAGCAAAATTTTCTACCTCATTTTAGTCAGTTTAGGCTTTGTTACAACAGTGTCACAACCAGAAGTAAAATAATCCAAAAAACCTTGTGGCATCGCTCTGTTATCTACTATTGGATGGATTGCCTTGACATTTTGTAGACATTGATAGTGCCCAGAGGATAAAACCTAATCAATTCAATGATCCCCTGATCTCTGGTGCCACCAGCAGGTCAAATGTGTCATTAATCCAATGAAATATCTCAACATCAACTGGATGGATGGATGGATGGATGGATGGATAGATAGATAGATAGTATATTCGACAAAATAAGTTTTTTTTTAAATAGTTTTAAATCACATCTTTGGGTCTTCATATAGAAAATGAAGCTGGTTCAGGTGTTATAATATGACTTTTGTATAATGGTCCTTGGATATATGAAGGCACAGTAGATTAATCATTTCTCGCTCTGTTACAGCCTCGCCCTCCGGGGTCACAGCCCGACAGAGAGCCCATCGCTCCGCTGAGGCCAAAGACAGACGACAGATCCTCCTCAGAAATTCAGAGATTTCCACTCTTCGATAGGGAGCCCTTCAGACCTGTAACAGAGTTCCTCCCACAGTTTGATATGAAGGACCCCACAAACCGTATGGTGATGACGGGAGCCATCGGGCCGGCGGGTCCCACTCTGAAGACCCCACCTGAGGAGAAGACGCCGCCACCGACTCTTGTACTGCTGCCCTCTGACACCTACGTATCAGGTAACTGCTGAGAGTTTGCAGAAGAGATTGTAGGGTGGAGAAATGGTTGCTGTAAATGTTAAAAATGATGCACGTTACTCTGAATGAAAATGTTGAGACAATGAAGTCAAACCTTCAAAATTCTAGATTAACTTGGTGGCTATGTTATACCTTTACTAACATTTTATCTGCAACCTGAAGGTAAATGTTTAAAAAGATTAAAAAACAAACAAAAAACTACCAAACATCAATCAGCCCCAAAATAAATAAGTTTTTACATTTTACACTTGCAAGCGCCTTCTTCCAGAGCCTTAGCTAAATATGAAGCTGCAGCTGGGAGGCAGTAAAATTATAGTCTTGTTATGTTTGTCACTTCCTGTTTGTTTGCTGTCTCCAGCGGAGCGCTGCAGCCACCTCTTGGATCCAGGACCTTGCCGAGACTACGTGGTAAAGTGGTACTATGACGCCACCGCTAATTCCTGCGCTCAGTTCTGGTTCGGAGGCTGTCTAGGAAACGGCAACCGGTTTGAGACTGAGAAGAGCTGCAGAGAAACCTGCATCAAGGTCTAACATGTGCGTGTAGTCACAAACGTACACGTTCGTAAATGCTCATATAACAGTTTGCTGCGACTTCACGCCATGAAGCACTTCATCGTCAGTGCCTTAGTATTTTACTCGTAGTTTGACATGGGTAGGGAAACAGCAAATGTAATAAAAGAGGCATCAGTAAACTAAATTAGCCTGAAATGGAGGGAAAGGTTGAAAGTGTTCAGAAGGCTAGGTACTGTTAAATGTTTTTTTTCCTGTTGGCCAGAGGGATTTTGTGTATTAATTGTGTGAATCAAGCCAGGTTAATGCAGAGAAAATGATGTCTAAGACGTTACTTACAGTTCTGTTAAAAAAACAAAACACACTCTGTAACCACTAACCTTTCTATTCAGAAAAAGTAACCCTTTTGTATGATTCAGTGGTGTATTTTTCTACTTAATGTCTGAAGTTTTTTTTGTTTCTGTTTTTTTTAATACTGTGAAATGTCATTAAACAGAAAAAAACAAAACAAATAAACTTATAACTTCATGAATTGTAGGTTGAATGCATTATTGTAAGTTGCTTCGGAACCGCAAAGCGCATATGTTTAATGCGGCAAGTTTAAACAAACCATCCTCGCTAAATAAAGTAAAGTCGCCTCCCCCCAATGTCTGTAAGAAGCTGAGAGGAATCCACCTCGCCCAACAGGAAGGATGCTCCACTGAGAAACACTTTCTTCACCCGCAAAGTTTCAAGTTGGAGCATGATTACATGTAATTAGTGAGGAGGGGCTGCTCTCCAGAACATGCAGCTTCAGCAATACAGAGCGTCTATTCAAGCTGCAAGGGCTTTCGTCTTCCTCCGTTGACTTCCGGGGGTGATGTCTCCGAGAGAGAGAGAGAAAGATGGGCAAATGCCTGGGTCGTGCTGGGCCCGAGCGTGGCAAGGTGATATTTACATCAACGCTAACAGTCCGCACTAAACAGTTACGTTCCTGTCTGTGCGAGAGTGATGGATACAGTCAAAGAACAGGCAGTAGGAAAATGAAGAATTTAGTCTTTGGCTTGATACTGCCACCATTTCAAAAAATCCATTCATTCACATTAATTGATTTAAACTTTAGAGTTTCCCATAGCTGGATCCATTGTAAAAGACAGGAAAGAGGACATGATGATGTATCCAGGATCCTTGCGAGGGATTCGGATCCCCTTCCCTCGAAAAAGCTGAGAAGTAGAGAACGGTGTTTGATTCGCTCACGTTCAGCTAAAAGAGGACAGAAACAGACACACTGTGTTCATAAAACTCACAGCAACACTTTCATTTTACAGATATCTTCATCAAGAAAACAGTGAATAACACAGTAGGTAATACACACTAAAAACCCACAGTACTCAGGAGGGGTTATGATTACAAATTTAGCTCCCATTGAACTAAACCAGTCAGGACACAGTGTGATACACCCCGAGGCTTTCACAGCAGGAAGTCTGAAAGACACCGAAATGTTTTCAAACCAGATTAAATCAACACATTGTTACATAACTTCCATAAATTCCACCTTATTTAAGTATTATAATATGAAGTACAGAGAATATAATTGTATTAGATGTGAAAATATATAGAATTAATAGAAGAAATATAAATATAAAGAGGGCTTGTTTATGAAACCCTCATCTAACAAGGCATGTTGACAGGAGCTCATGATGGAGAGAGGGCTACTGGGAGCTGCCCAGTTTTGGGACTGACAACCACTGAGCAGCTTCACTAGAACAGATACATCCGTAGTTTGCTTTAGGGCGCTTTGAAGAGTGTTAAAGGAGTTGTTTTTGTGTGTGTCCTGCTGAATGAATTTCTTTCAGTGTGAAACATTTGCAAAGCCCCTTTTCATTGCACAGCACTTATTGACAGTATATATAATGGACAGAGCTTCCAGGTCTGTGAAGTGAAGTCAACGTGTAAATGTCTTAAACCTGTAGTCTATATAAAGACCAGTAGGGGGAGCTCATAAAGAAACAATATTTTGCAATCTAATGGAGAAATGAGCTGACTTCTCACTTGATTTATGAGCTCAGTAAACAGTTTTCTAACGCGTTTATGGTATTAATCTCTAGTTTCACATCTTTCTCCAAACATTATTCATTTAGTAAATTATGGTCCAATTTAGAGTAAAATAGACCTTGTGATTGACAGGTAATTCTCAGTGAGTCCGTCCAGCTCAACGCACCAAACTCACATCAAACTTTCAAAGTAGGCAATATGTATCCAGATTCTGTTACTGTGTTGACTATTCCTCACTTAAAATTATATAAAAATCTAAATGTAATCCCTTCAAAGTAGTAGAGACATAACAAGAACCAATAGGTAAAAGAGACAATATACGATGTATTTGAATAAATTATATGAAATGATTAAGTCCACATTTAATCCTATAAGTTGATTGATGGTTGAAGCTATGAAAAAACTTAACAAACAATTCCCCACATAGGAATCTTAAATCTTAGACTTAGAATTAGATGAGAAGATGGATTAGAGAAGTAAACTTGATGCACAGATTGTGTGGACTGTAGCACAAAACAAAGCAGGTGCTCTTAAAGTGAAAAGTAAACACAAAAATCTAAAATCGGACATTATGTGTAACATGTGGTTGTGTATTTTTACAGTTAAATCCTGGAGGAAATCTGATCCCGGGACTGTGTTGCACATGACTGCTGAGAACATGAGAGCGCTGCCAGGCAGGAACCAGTCAGGAACCAGTCAGGAGTTTTACATGATTATATCAAGAGCCTTTATGGTCAATAACTCACTTCAGAATAATTAAGCACTCCCTAATTCTAATGGGCTTACGGCACTCAAATGTTTTACTTCAGTGTGACCTTGATTTCAGTACGAGGTTCTTGTAAATGTACTGGAGGAAGAGAGGCTCACTGGGATTTAAACTTGTCCTCAATAACCCTGAATATAAGTGTGTGTGTGTGTGTGTGTGGTGAATAAACTGAAAGTGATCTGATATTCCCAAAAAGTTGCTGAACTTAAAACTCTCAAACAGAAAGACAGTGTTAGCTGATTTACACATCCAGCATAACAAGTAACATTAGCAACATTAGCATTTATTTGAAGTCGTGTTTCTGATGAATGAAAGTCCAATATTGTTTTTGGTCTCCACCAACTCCTACAAAATATAACCTATTGGGCTTTTTAGCTGCTAAATGCTCCACCATGTTCCGCAAAGTCGGATTTTAGAGCTTTTTCAAGGACAATTAAGCCAATGAGAGCAGTGAAAGTGAACCAAAACAGTAAAGATGCGACCATATGACCAAAACAATGAGCTGAAAGACGCTAAAACAGCATGCAGAGGTGAGAGTGAACCGAAAAGAGTCAAGTGATAATTCTTTGTCACACACACATTACACATTACACTAAATAAAACAACAGCTACTGTAGATAAAATGAAAAGGTTTCAGATCAATAATGCAATCAGATGATAAAGTTTGGAGTAAAGATCTGTACCTGTTCGGTGATATCGACCCTCCAGGGGTTGACCTGCTGTCCATCACACCAGCCTCCTCGCCCGTACAGCCATGTGCCGTATTCGTTTGGTACAGCGCCCTCTTTCACCTGTGTGGTGCAGCCCAGAGGCGATCCTGATGGTTCCCAAAGAGATCAGAAAATACGACAATCAGTCCATATTGGTATATTTTTATTTTACAGACATATCAGGCCTATGTATCTTTTCAACAATTTTATAAAATGTTCTTTGGAACATTTTTATAAATGTTTTTTTATTTAACTATTTAACACACCATCTTTGATAAATGTAGCAACCAACACATTTAAAATCTATTATTTCTTTATATTATATCCCTGCCTGGCTACCCCACATAACCAACACAACCAAAATAATTACATACAGTAAGCTCCAGTAGATTCTTCATCTATGTGTTGGCACCGACATGATTATTGTTCCTTTAAAATGCTCCAGGACCCCAAACTCTAGGACTCTGCCCTTTTATTGACACACTGTAACTTAAACATTAATATAAAACTATTAATGTGGACATTAGGTTATTAATATTCAATACTTTTGACATTTAATGACCTAAATGTTGAGTTTGAAAGCTTATCCTTGACACTGGAAACCGCAGCTCTCAGATCAAAATCCATTTCTGGAGAAGCTCTTCAACTTTACAGCCACGAACTGCAACTCGATGACAAGTGGGACTGCTGACGTAGAGTGAGTCATCGAACCAAAAATGACCTTGAGCTCAACTACCTGCAGTGAACATTCCTTAAAAAAGTCGACGTTCCTCACCTGCAGAATCGAATATGAGTGTGTTGTTGAAAACAGTGTTGAACAGGAAGTGGTGGGAGGTGACGCAGAACTCTCCGCAGCGGTTGTCATCGCTGCCGTGGGCCGTGATGACGGCGTACAGCTCGACCTGAAAACAGACAGA